TGATATTTTGAGAATTAAAAAAATTCATTAAATGTTCATCTTTGCTTCTTTTGAAAGCAGCTTTAAAAAACAACCTAGAGTCAGCTTTTAAAAGCTGCTGTCAAAAGGCCACTGCTTTTAAAATAATCGGGATATTTTAATTTTACCAAACACCTTAAACTGCTTAACTTTAAAGTTAAGCAGGTTTTTGACCAAAAAAAGCAACCCCAAATTTAGAGACTCTAGCTACTTCCCTTTTTAGGATTGATAAGTTTCCTAAATCCTGCTATCGAAGTTTATTTTTATTTATTGATTATTATTTTAAATTGGCCTATTCACCTCCCTCTAGGCATTATTAGTCATCCTACAAGTAATTTCAGACCATTTTTCTGAAAATAAAATAGATTACATCTGTATAGGAAGCCCTTGCCCTAGGAAAAGAGATTGTTTGTGGAGGCATCTAATTGATGATGGTGCTGCCTATACTTTTACCAAGGACTATTATTGGAGATTTTAATGAGATTGTTTTGCTCAAATGAGAGGAAATGTGGGAGTGATAGATGGAAACCACGTGGCCTTCCCCATTGGATTCAGGCTCATAAACTTGTGGACCTTGTGATAGTGAGAATAGCACGTGCCTGTTAGTTAAGAGTTTAGTATGGTGTCCCAAGTGTAAGATTGTTATTGGTTGTTATTCAATCTAGCGGTTAGGCTGATATAAAGCAAAACGACTGTACGATCATTCTAGTCAAGAAATTACACAGCTCTTCCTTATCTTCTCTCTCTTTTGTCCTATTCTTTTTCAACTGTTATCATGGTATCAAGAGCCTTTCATGGCTGACGCCGATCGGTGTCGCTCCTAATTCCTTTTTCCGCTGCACAATACTTCTTCCTCTCTGCCAATCGTGTCTCTGTTCTGCAAATTTCCTCTTCGCAATTTTCTGAAACCCTAAAATCCCAATTTCTTTTCTTTTCCTCGATCCTCTTAAAAATGGTTACTGTAGCTCAACTTGCTCTTGCACAATCGCCAATTTCTTCATTGATTCCAAGCGTCAAAAACACAGTTACTGTGAAGCTTGACAATTCCAATTTTGTTACCTGGAATTTCCAAATGGGTTTACTTCTTGAAGGCAATGGCATTATGGGGTTTCTTGATGGTTCTGTTCCATGGCTCCCTCAATTTGTTGATTCTTCTTCTGATTCTGCCACAAGAATTGTTTCTGATGCCTACAAGGTATGGAAAATTCATGATAAAGCATTAATGGCTTTGATTACTGCTACTCTCTCTGCTTCTGCAATTTCTTGCATTATTGGGAGTCAGAGTGCTACGAATATGTGGACTAGTCTCAAAGAGCGTTTTGCTGATGTCTCTAGAGCAAGCATTTTCAAATGAAAACTGATTTACAGAATATTAAGAAGGGATCTGAGACGATTGATCAATATTTTCAGAGGATTAAAGATGCAAAAGACTAAGCTTTCTATAGCTGGGGTTGATATTTCTGATGAAGACTGTCAAAGCTGTTACTCGGAGCAAAAAGAAGGTGGTTTCTTTGAAAGATTGTCGCTCCCAACCCAAAGCTAAGGAAGCTACCCTTGAAGAGAATGCAAGTCAAGTTCCACTCTTGACTGCCATGGCTGCTACACCAATTTCAGGTTCGACCTCCGGTATGTCTTCATCCTCTCTTGGATCACAAGCATCTGTCGGTTCTTACCCCAATTTGGCACCTTCTCAGTTTCAACAATATCTTCCTCAAGGGTCTCACGGATTTCATTATTCTCAAGGCTATTCCTCTCAACAAGGGTACCGGTCTCATAATTTTAGGCCTAAGGGTAAAGGGAAGACGCATTATGATAATGGTCCTAGATTTCCTCCTAGGAATTCTTTCTCCAATCCTTCTAATGGAATTCTGGGCAGACCTCCCTTTCCTTCATACAATGGTGTTCCCACTTGTCAGATTTGTCACAAGAAGGGTCATATTGCAGCAACTTGCATTCATCGATCTACTACTCCTCAGCAAGGGCGGAACCAGAAATTTTTCAATGGGTGGGCTAGCTAAAGTTATTAGCTTAAAATCAAATTATAATTTTTTTTTGTACTTACATTTTCTATAGTAAAATGCTTCTCTTTTGGAGACAAATTAATATAAAATTTTTAAAATTGATGTTGGGACAAACTTTGACACCAAATACAAATATGGAAGACCTCTTACTATGCCTATTGGTGTTGAAATTGTATATATATTTATTTATTTTTAGTTAAAATATTATGATATATGTATATTTAATTTATTTTTTATCCAAACCTTCCCTGGGCTACAGCCAAGGGCAGCCCTTGCCTTGGTTCCGCCCATGCTCCTCAGTTTCAACCTATTGACTTGGATCCTTGTCAAATCTGTGGGAAAATCACATTGTTGCTACTTGCTTCTATAGAGATAGCCCTTCTTCTCAAGATTCTTCCTCTCAAGGCATGACTGCTATGACTGCTCAAGTTCACCCTCCTGTGCCTCAGTAAGAATATTGGATTGCTGACTCCGGTGCAACCAACCATATGACTGCTGATATCTCTATTATCTCTGTTGCTACTAAGAAAGTTAAAGCTGTTGAGATTTCTCAATTATATAATCCTTAACCAGTGAATTGGGAAGATACTTGGGTGTTCCACTAATTCATGGAAGGAAGACTAGCAACAGTTATACTATCCCTTTCTATGGCTGGCAGAGTGACTTTGGTTCAGTCTGTTACTTCTACTATCCTGATCTATATACTATGCAAACGGTTAAACTGCCTATGATAGTTTGTAGGGAGTTGGATAGGTTGAATAAGAACTTTATTTGGGGATCAACTGATAGGAGAAGGAAAGTGCATCTTGTCAGTTGGAGTACTATTTGTCCTAAGAACAGAGGTAGTCTAGGAGCATGTTAATCAAGATCTCCTTGCAATAACTTGATGGAGACTGGTGAAGAAAGATAATGGTTTATCGGTCCATTGAGCTTGCTCTAACATTGACGAGAATCTGGTAGAGAGCTGGATACCATAGACCTAAATATCACAATTCTTGTCTCGACACATATTAGAACAAATTGGTTTCCTTCCATTGCCTTCACAAACTACGCAATGACATATTCTTATTTGCTCATGAACATTAGTTATTCTTCAGTACTTTTAATGCAAAAACAAAAAAACGTAGTATTACAAAGTGCAAAGAGTTCGATAACAGAAGAAGAAATTATTTAAATTTTACCAGATAAAACCATAATCGCAACATACCTGACCAAGTGATCTTCATTCGATTACATTCTTCATTTCCTTCATTTTGAACATTCACACGAATTAAACCCTTGAACCCTAAACCCTTCAAAAAATGACAGTAATTAACCTCAATCAATATATTTCGAATTACTATTTCTATTACAATAATGGATATCTCGTCATAATTGATTTGCATATATATGTTTTGTGTTGTCAACTTTTTCCATGTCCCCTCATGTTCCTATGTTAATATTCTGTAACATGTCCTCTTAGATAACAGAGTGAAAATACCTTTTTAACTCTTAATTAAAAATAGAATATTAAAAAGAAAAGAACAGTTCTGATCCTTCATCTTCTTCCTTTGTCTTCCCAAACCTCACAGCCAACAGACCCACCGCTCTCTTAACAAGAAGAAGAGGTTGTGGTTTTAGCGATTTCAAGAGAATAAGGAAGACAGAATGTAAGAAAGAAGATAGCTTTGTAATCTTGTATTTCTGATTTTGGTGAATGGAATGGTGAAAAGCTCTACTTTAGTACAGTACTTATCTCCTAATATCATGCTAACAAACTTAACAGAGAGCACGTGAGCTGCACATGATGAGCTAACAGTTTCTTAACTAAACTCATAGTTAACATTTTCTCTATCCAGCTGAACTCCTCAGTCTAAGATGAAGACAATTTTGTAAGAAAATGGGACTATGTAAACCCTTTGTAAATACAGCTGCTATCTGCTCTTCAGTAGGTAAATACTGTACAATAAGATCTTTTCTATGTACCTTCTCTCGCACAAAATGGAAGTCAATATCCAAATTCTTAATACCAGAGTGGTATACTGGGTTTGAGCTTAAAGCCAGAGCTGATAAGTTGTCACAGTACATATATTGACACACATGATTCACAGTTTCTTAACTAAACTCATAGTTAACATGCTCAACCCCTTCCAGTTCTTTGAGATGAGAAGTTAAAACAATAATAAAAATCCAAATCAGCATTTCCACATCTCTCATCTGGGTGTTCCATTTCGTTCTTTGTCTGATGTTTTGAACCCCTCCCTCCGATAAAGTCACTGAAGTTGTCATTTCTTAGCCATTAAGATCAATAACTATATTATTTTGAAGTTTAAAAGCGCAGTCAATTTTGAAGTCTTAGGTTCATTACAGTCAATGTTAACATTGAAAATATATAATTGTAATTGTGAGATGAAAGAGAATGTGGATACTAACAATTATAGATCCATCGTTGCCGTGCATTCCCATTTTCTCTTCATTCTCTCTAGCTAAAATCTCCAGAATATACACCTCTTCCTAATCTGAAAATACATATACAAACTGAGAATTTTAACAAAAACAATAATTAAAAAAACCAAATCAGCATTTCCACATCTCTCATCTAGCTAGGTGTTCCATTTCGTTCTTTGTCTGATGTTTTGAACCCCTCCCTCCGATAAAGTCACTGAAGTTGTCATTTCTTAGCCATTATTTTGAAGTTTCAAGGCTCAAATTCAAAAGCGCAATGAATTTTGAAGTCTTAGGTTCATTACAGTCAATGTTAACATTGAAAATATATAATTGTAATTGTAAGAGGAAAGAGAATGTGGATACTAACAATTATAGATCCATCGTTGCCAAAATTTGAGGCGTGTTCCACTCGGGAATGCAGAAGGCATAAATCCTTGCATCGGGAATGCCCCATTGTGGCTCTCGGTAAAGACCAATTGTGGGCAACGCTGAACTAATTCCAGAGCAGTACCTGTAGTAGAGAAAAACAAGTTTTTATAATTAAGGAAAAAAACGAGTAAGCAATTTCATTGTTATAAGATTAATTAAAACTCTGACCAAATTTCATGCCAACAATACAGTAGAGAAGAAGTCCAGCCCCGTATGGTCCTTTCTCTGGCATTAGATCTTGGAGGGGAGTGACGGAGTAAAGATAATGAACGACATCCCATTGTTCATTGAGAGAAGCCAAGATAATTGGAGTTATATTTTCCTTAGTGGGAATACAAAGTATTTTCATGCTCTTTCTAACCATGCATTCAACCATTTTGAGATTTCCTCTATTTGCAGCAACAGCTAGAGCTGTCCAACCCCATTTATCTGTTAATTCCAAGTCTTCCTCTGACATCAACTGCACCAACTCTTCCACAATATGCTCGTGCTCAAAGTCTGTTGCCATGTGAAGAGCTGTGTTGTTTGCAGAAGGACTTGTTGCTCTTATTGCATTGGGATGTAAGGTAAGAAACTCCTTTGCTTTATTCCAATCGCCACTCGACACAGCATCGAACAACGGCTGATATTGATGGAAGTCATTGTAATATCCTGCGCAAAGTTTGGTTAATTAATTTATTAATGATTTCAGATAACATAATCCATTTATTTTTTGTGTTAATAATTGAATGAATTGTACCCGTGCATGTTAAACGAATCATATCTACTGCCAAATAATTGGGGATGGCTGAAGTTAAAACCTCCACTCTTTTTTTCTTTTTAGTAAAACCTCCACTCTTCGCAGCACGTTTGTTACATTAATATATGATTACAATTTGAACTATACTTCGTTTTCCCTCCCTCATGAATTATATAGATTTAATTTCCACATTGTTACACATGCAATTTGTGTAAGGATGTATATTTCTGTTCGGATACTATAAGTCTAGGGAAACCAAAATGTAAAAGAACAAAATGTAAACTGATCAGTCCTTACATCCGTGCTAGTATAATAAGAAACAGAAATAGTGGTCTCGTGGTTAATCAATTAAATGTTTAGAGTTTAATTTGGCTATATAATATATATATATATATATATATATATATATATACATATTTCTGGTTTAAGTAGAATATTCACTTCTCAGAGAAAAAGAACCAAGTATACCCGAGGGTTGTTTGATGAGGTTCAAGATTTGAACTGGGGACTTACCTGGTTTTGGCTTGAACTCTTCTGCCAAAGTATCCCAAGCGCGTTTGGCTGAAGTGGTGTTCCTAATGAGGGAAAAAGCTTCCAGCCCGCACGAAATTTGGATTGTATGTAAAGCCGTGGCATTCTTCTTCCTCCAAGCTTTGAACTTATCATCAGCTTCTTCTTCTTCTTCTTCTTCCACTACATCCCAAAGGTCTTGAGCCAACAAGTTTGTTTTAACCAATACACTCCAATCCACATAATTACGGCTATTAAGAAGTTCCACAACAGCTGCATCTGCGGAGACGGCCATTCTTAGATGGATCTGACCAAGGGCTTACTTAGGAGATGCTTTGCGATTTCTGTTTTATTTGCTATACCCAATTGAGTGAACAATCACTTGTTAAAGCAATGGGGGTCCGCGAAGGGTGAGAAATATGTTATTTTCTATTGTTGAAGATAATAGAAACGGAGAATTTCACTTTAGCCCCTCTGAAGCTAACTCCACTTAATAGGACACTTCCTCTCTCTCTCTTTTTCTTTATCTCTTCTTTCTGTCTCTTTGATATGTGTCCTCTTTTTCTTTTTCTTTTTTTTTCTTTTATTATTATTATTATTATTATTTAACCATACCCAATTGAGTAATCACTTATTAAGCAATGGGGTCCTCGAAGGGTGAGGAATTATGTAATTTACCATTTCCATTCGTTGACGTAATTAAAGAAATTCAACAAAGAGTAATTTACCCTTGACGTTTTTTAGGGTTTTTATATAACTCCTTCAGATCATGATAATTACACAAACACCTTTTCAAGGTTTCAACACTCCATGAACAGCCAAAACACTCTTATCCAAATCGTAATATACCCTTGGTTGAATACCATCTCAAATCTTACACATTATTGCCAAACAGGTCTAGCCAAGTGAATTGCCAAAAAATAAAAAAATAAAAAAGCCTATCCCAATGGAAAATGATTTTAATTTGTTGACTAATATAGTCTGGGTTCAAACTCCCCTAACATCTTGGTGGTGTGTGTGTGAGAAACCCCCTTCTCATTTAAGTTTCGACAATCACTTGTACTAAAAAAGGGTTATCTGCTGTAAAACACTATAAACTATCACGCTTGTCGAAATCTCCACCCTAAACTTGTTTTCCTACTAATTAACCTCATACTAAATTTTCTTGCCAATTTACTCCCCACCGTACGTTAGTTTTTGGCAATTTTCATCCAAATATCTATTGAAAAAGTCCCATTTTAAGCACGTGCTTCACTGTTAAATTAAAAATTGATTTTTTTCTGTGCTTCTTCAAAGAGCTTGAACTGCTTCTTTTCAACCATCCTTACAGCTATTCACAACCAGATAAATGTTTACAACTCAGTTATAAGAGTAAAGGATTTCATCGTAAAGTAGTGTGGTTGGAGTGCATTGGTGAATTAAGAATCAGGCTTTTTCTTTTCAACCTTTCTTTAAGTACACTTACTACATTCCTTCTCTTTCTTTCTCTTTTATATATCTGAAGAGTATCACGAGTATACTAATATTCCATCTCTTACGTATACCCAAAGAAATTAAAAGAGAGAAAACGAAAAAGTCCAAAGGAATCAGCATAACGAAAGAAATCATGAAAACTTGGAGGACTAATGATTATTGCTCCATAAACCTCTGATATTATCATGTGTTAGTAACTAAAGTTGTGCTTATAAATTCCAGACTACATATCTATATTCATGTCTAAAGAGGACATGGACATGCATTAAGAAAAACGGAGTTTCCAGAGAATTTGGAATCCAAATCCCCTGCATGAATGAATATGATCAGCAACGTGGGTGGACTGTTAACTATATCACGTTTACAAGACAAAAATCATAGAAATCGATCAAGTGGTTGAAGTATACCAAGAAATGAGAAAATAAAAAACAAAACATTGTCTTTCAATTAGATAAGTTTCTTATGAGGTGGGGAATTGCATCCATTGAATCAGTGGCGGATCCAGGAAATTTCTTTTCAGGGGTCAACCTCTAAAGAAATGAAACAATAATATTATAATTCATCATTAATAGAAAAAACCACATTACAATTGTCAATGACAAGTTTTCATATTCTGAAAACGTAACATTATAGTTTCATTATTAATACAAGCAAACACATCTCTCTCAATATAAACAAGTAAGCTATCACTCAACCATTGATCTCCCATTATGTTGCAAAGTGGACCTTTCACAATATTCATAGCAGAAAATGCTCTCTCCACAGAAGCAGTTGCAACCGGTAAAATTAAGGCTAATGTGAGAAGCAAATAAACATAATTATATGTTCTATGCAACCCTTTCTCCACCATTTTTCTTGCAAGGCTACCAATCCCTTTCAATTGAGAGAAATCAGTCATCGTACGCATATGATTAATATAAATCTCAAGTTGATCTTCAAGTGCCAAGAGGTCTCAGGGATTAAAATCTTGATGATAAAATTCAACAAAACGAAGTAGCTTTTGTTTGTCAAAAGCTATGAATGAATCATCCGGACTCAAACATGCCAAACAAAGAAGTAACTCAGTATTTACCTCACTGAAGCGATGATTTAATTCCGCAAGTTACCACTCAATGATTTGAATAAAGATGTTCACATGATAATGATGGAGGTGTGTTATTCTAGGAGCTCTTCGATGTGATCTCCATTGAGCTACATATGCATTATCCATGTTTGGAACCAAGATATCATGTTTGACACAAAAGGAAGATACTTGATCAAGCGAGGCTTCATATGCATTCTCTCTCATGTGTTGTAGTTGGTCCTTGCAAACTTTGACTAAAGTCATTGCATTCTCAATGTCTTGGTCTTTCCTTTTTAAGGCTTATGAGTAGTCATTTGTGGCTCCCAATATAGATCTCATGAAAAATAAGTGAAATACAAACTCAAAAGATTGTATTTCTCTCAATGACCTATTTGCTTCACCTAGATAATTAGTGGAGCCATCCTCAATAATCAATTTAAGCACTTTCACCACAGATTTAAACATGGAGATGATATTAAGTAATGTACCATAATGTGAGTTCCAACGTGTATCACCGGGACGCTTGAGACAAGTTTCTTGATTTAAAACTCGCCTTGTTGGAAAAGTATATTTTTCAAGAGCCTCCGTAATATCCTTTTGTAGTTGATCTCTAAGCATGTCACGACTCTTACATAATGCTCCAACAATATTAACCAAGCTATTGGTAGATGTGAAGAAAGTGACAATATCAAATGTTCACCCGTTTTAAGTTTGTTCCTGTAATGGTAGGGTAAAGTTCCCCATTGTTTTGAAAACCATTGACTGGTCAACAAGTCAACTTTCTTCAGTGTGCGAGCGTGCCACTGCTACCAATGAAAAATCCTAGCAGACTTCTTAAAAATAGATAACTTGCGCCCAAGTTACTGATTTCTAAACAAGCGATTGTGAATTTGGGTGAGGAATATCTCCCAAGTTCTTTTTTTGCCTCAGACTGGTGAGGACTTCACAATTTTTCATAGTATAAAACTGGTAGTTTTGGCCAGAATAAATGATAAGAAAGTGAATTGTTTTTTTTTCCTGCCTGGATAGATGCTTCTGATCTAGGCTGGATTGGGTATGCCTGTGCTAGACTGGACTGTCAACAACTTCAACTGTCAAGTTTCAGCTGTAAATTAATACCAATGTTCGAGTTTGGCAGAGCTTTAATCTATTTTGAGCCCCAGGAGGCTTTTTTAAAAGGCAGAATTGAGGCCTCTTCAGCCTGGAAGGTGCAGAAGTGGCTGGATTTGATGATTATTGAGCTGGAACTGCACTGTAGTACCTGTTCTGCTTGGTCAGGGCTCTCCATAAATTTGTTGAGGTTTTCATATTTGTAAAACCCGAACTCTGCTTGATTTGGCTTATGCTGAACC